TCCCTCCCTTCCTTCCTTATTTATTTGAGGATATAGAGGTGTTTCACAGAATTCAAGGATACGGATAGCCAACCTCAGGCAAAACCGAAGCCAGGAATTGAAATCGATTAGGTAGAGCCTCCTCAGATATTTATTTCCTTTGCTCCACAGGCTAACTTTGTCTTCTTCAAGAGAGCTGCTCAGAATGAATTAAAACCCTTAATTGGTCCACCTTAGTTCAAATTTCTACCCCAGGACCAGTGAACTGTGACCAGGGAAGTAGAGTGAGAGAGACTTTGAAAAAGCCATTTTCTGTTGTGCAGTCATCCCTAAAAAGTTACTGTACTTCCCTGCATATACCCTTGGACGGGACAGGATGATGCATAAAAGCCCTTTATGGGGATGAGTCAGTACTGTTCTTGCTATCACTAAGTTTAAGCTTAACTTAGGGAGCAAAGCCAGAATGGGGCAAAGAGGAAGTTTGGTGGAGATTATTTGTTTCACAGCATGGAACCCTCTTCAGCCAGGACTGCCCCAAAGTGTTCATTACAACCATTCTCTGCCCAGCTCCTCCCCACACCAGGACCAGGAAGATGAGAGAACAGAGAGCTTAGAGCTCTAGTGGAGCTGGGCCTGGGACAGGTCTGTCATTTCCATCCCTGTGTGGGTCAGGGTGCGGGGAGCATAGCCAGGCTTCTCTCTATCCATATTAGTCTCTGGGCCACAGACATTACTCCTTCCCTTGTGGCTCAGAATTCACACCCAAGGGGCTGGGGACAGAGGTAATGGGGCCACATTCCAGGTGTTCAAATTCTTCAAATTCTTCTGTACTTCACACTAATCTTACCTTTTTTAAGTGCTTATACTATGTGTCAGGCCCTGAGCCTAACATATACTCTTATTTACAATTCACATTATCCTGTGAGAAAGATATTATTATCCCATTTGTAGAGAGGAAGAAAGTAAAAACCAGAGAAGTTTAGGGGTGTATCCTGGGTCACACAGCTATCAGACAGGCAGAGCCAAAACACAGAGGGTCTTTCTGACTCTAGAGCTGAGCTGTTGTCTGCTGTAGAGACAAGAAGCAGTCTTAACACTTCTTGAAAGATCAAAATGCATGGCAGTAGAGGTGCTCCTGAGATTGTTCTAATCAGTCACGAGTAGAGAAGATGGTCTTAGGTTATTAAGTCCTAGGCAGAGCAAGAAGAAACATTAGTGGTGGTTTTCCAGCAATGTGCCACAGAACCCCGTAGTTGTGAGGAGTGGGCATGCAAGGACCCAGAGGGAATGGGGTATACAGTGCTTGTTTGCATTTATCTATTTTATATGTTGGGCTTCTGTTTAAGATTTGATTTGAAGAAAGACTTGTTTGGCTAAAAGAAGTTTGGAAAACCACCGGCCTAGTTCAGTTTCATCAGTTGGGAAACTAATCCTGGTGAAGAGAAGAGAGAGGTTTGCCCATGGTCACGCAGCTAGCTAGTGGCAGAGCCAGGCTGGGAGCCCAGATCTCCTGGCTCCTTGCCAGGGCTTTTACACCTCCTTACTCAGGTCACGTGCCTGATGTCTGAGAATAAGCACTTTCACAGTATGACAGGGGTGGTTATGCAAGGTCAGATAGTAATCGGTGGCACTAGGGCTTGAATCTAGGTATTCTTTTTTTTTTTGGCTACACCACACAGCATGCAGGGTCTTAGTTCCCCGACCAGGGATGAAACCCGTGTCCCCTGCAGTAGAACCACGGAGGAGCCGTGGAATTCCTGACTCTAGGTATTCTCATTCAGAGCAACATTTGAACAAAGTAATTTGATCAAGATCAGACAGCTGGTGAGTAGAAAGCCAGAAATCGAACTTAGGGAGTTTGGTTCCAGAGCCTGTCTTTTTAATCACAACATTACACTGCCTCCATATATATATGTCTGATCTTGAACAAATTACTTAACCTCCCTGTGCCTCAGTTTCTTCGTCTGTAAAAGGGGAATGATAATGGTGTCTGCCTCAAAGGTTGATGTAAGGATGGAATGCATGTAAAACACTTAGACCAATGTCTGGCACTTAGTAAACATATAATTAATGTTAGATGTTACAAAAGTAACCAATAATACAACTCCTGCTGTTGAGGAGTTTATTCACCCATCAAAATGGGACAAACAGCACAGAACACGTGAAATGCGACTTGTCGACAAGGACACACAAGGCGGTGTAATGTGTGGTAAAGAGGTTTGGGTTCTCAAATCAGGCAAACCTGGGATTCGGTCCCGACACAGCACTTGATGGCTGTATGACCTTGGGCAATCCCTATCTAACTATTCTATCTGAGCCTCAGTTTCCCGCTGTAGAACAGGGAATGTAGTAAACTCCCTTCAGAGTTGTTGAGGGCATTCAGTGAAATAGTACTTGTAGATCAGTGCCTGACACACAGGAAGGCACTCAAAAACTGGTAATTGAGTATCAGCTAAGCACTTTGCTTTCTCCAGCTCAGCAGGTGCTCTGTCCCACCTCCCAAACCTGCCTCCTTTCCCCCCTGATCAGGGAGAAACTGCAGAAGCATGGGGTATGTATCCGGGTCCTGGGTGATCTGCATTTGTTGCCCTTGGATCTCCAGGAGCTGATTGCACAGGCTGTGCAGGCCACCAAGAACTACAACAAGTAAGTTTTCAGATTTCCCCTTAGGAACCTGTATTAATCTATGACTCCCTGCTAACTTTAGGGAGATGTCCTGGCCCTTCCTTGGTCTGCATTTGGTACAAGAGGTAATGAGGAGTTGGTTTTGGATGCTTGAGACTTCTTCCTCCATCTGCAGGGCAGACCAGAGGTGGTTCTGCAGCACCTTGTTTTATGTGTGTTTACTCACACATACAGTTTCTTATCTTCCTCCTTCATGTGCCTTGCCCCCCATGTACATATGTATTTTTATATATATATGTGTGTGTGTGTGTGTTTAATTGACAGGGAATGGGGTGGGAATGTAGCAGGCCTTATCCCTGTCTCTGAAGACAGATCCTTCAAGAAATTCTCTTTCTGTCCCACTGCTTTAACCAATAGAGGGGATGTCCTTGGAAGGGCATGCAGATGCAGAGGGGAACAGTTTAATAATCCAGACTTCATTATGTGTGGCTTTGGGATATAATGCATATTTGGCAGTGGATTTGTTTCACATCAGACTTCCTTCCTATTCTTCTTTGCTTGTTCTAATATCACAGTGAATTCACATCCTCTGAAAGCTGGGGGTTAGCAGAAGGGAAGAAGATTAGGAGAATAATAAGGGTCAGTTAGTATTTTTCTTACTACAAAACTAATATGTTTTTTTCCCAAGAAAACTTGGAAAACTCAAAAAATTAATAATCTCGCTTTTCAGAGGTATCCATGGTTAACATTTGGTGTGTGTTTGTTCTACCACAGAAGGGGTGCTCTGTAATAAGTGACTCCACTCCTTAGTCCCTGTCCCCCTTTGGTAAATTATTCTGTTCTTCTCAGGTGTTTCCTGAACGTCTGTTTTGCTTACACATCCCGTCATGAGATCAGCAATGCTGTGAGAGAGATGGCCTGGGGAGTGGAGCAAGGCCTGCTGGATCCCAGGTATCGCAGTTGTTCAGCATGATAGGGAAAACAGGCATACACCGAACCATAAAATCCCTCCTAAGTCATGTACTTGAGCCAGAAGTCAAATCGGGAATGTATGTGGAAAGATTTGAGAGGGGTGGTCCCCTGCACTTAGAGCTTTGGAATGACTTATTGTAGCCTGCTTCAGAATTTCTGTGTTCACCACAAACCAAGAAGCTCCAGAAAAAATGGCATGGCTTGTAGCAACACTGTGGCATTCAATAAAACATGATGCCCTGCTGGCCCTTTGGCAGAGTTTTTCTAAGAATGATTTTTCAGGAATGCAGCTTGTTGGGGGTATTGGCCTTTAGGCCTTTCAGGTTACAGTTTCATGCAAGATCCAGGTATTTTTCAAAAAGAAAGTTGTTCATCATTAGCAACACGGTAGAATTACTAGAGCTGGGAGAGACTTTAGAAGCCATCTGTCTGCTCAGTCCCTCTCCTGTTATTATTAGTGTAACCTTTGGTAATAATATTAGTAAACTAACAACAGCAGTAGTAAAATAATAGTAGCAAAAAACAAGCCAGGCAATGTGTTATGCTGTGTTTATTTGATTAAGTTAATATTCTCATGTTTAAGAGATTTGAGTCTTTTCTCCATTTTATAGATGAGAAAACTGAGCTCACATTGAAATGACTGTCCCAAGGTCATTCAGCTAGTAAGTGCCAGAGCTGGGACTTCTAACAAAAACTGTCTGATTCCAGAGCTTTTGTCCTTACCTTTATTATATATGGGATTGTGGGACCCAGGAGGTTTTCTGACACCCTTCTTGGGTATAATTCGATTTTCCTGGGAAACTAAATTAAAAATGAAGAAGTTTCTCAGTGAGAATGAAATTAACATTATCAACATTATACAAATTAGCATAAATTTATAATGATGCTAAGCATGATAAAGGCATTGATGCATGGTTCAACAAGAATTTATAATAAGAGGAATGGACCTGGTAGGGAAGGCTCCCCAAAGGAAATGATAAATGACATAAGAAGGGGGTGAGAGGATAAGCAGTAACTGGGGAAAGAGGCAGTATTATGAGGAGCTTGTTGGTTGCACAAATACTGTTGGAATAATTCAAGTAGAGAGTACTTGGAAGGGAGCTTGGATTATGGTGGTGATGGTGGAATAGAGCAAACAGACTGCATTAAGAGCTATGAAGCAGATCAAATAGAGAGGACTTGTGCGGTGGTGGTGGGATGAATTGGGAGATTGGGATTGACGTATATACACTAATATGTATAAAATAGATAACTAAGAAGAACCTGCTGTATTAAAAAAATAAAATTAAAAAAAATATATTAGTGAGAGAAAAAAAATCGAGAGGACTTGATGGATTGACTCTGGGACAAGGATGTGTTATGGGTGACTCCAGGGTTTTTGACTTATAAAACAGTGGACAGTGGTGCCCTTCGCTGTGCTGAGAACCCTGAGAGGCTGCAGTTTGAGGAAGAAAGTCAGGAGTTTGGTTTGGGATATATTATAGATGTTGAACACAGATATCAGGTTGACAGTAGAGAGAAGTGGGAACTGGAGATAGCAGTCTGGTAACTGAAGCAAAGAGAGAGCATGAGGAATCTAAGGGAGAGTCTAGAGTGAGAAGAGAGGGCCTAGGATGGAGTTTTGAGAAACTCATAAGTTTTACTGGCTGGGTAGAGGAAAATGAGCCTTAAGGAAAAAAGAGAATCAACAACCAGAAAGGTAGAAACAAAAGGGCTGCCAGTATTACAGAAGCCAAGAAAAGAGGGTGTTTGTTAGCGCAGGTGGTGTGGCGGGTGTGCATTGGTGGGAGCAACAGTGTCAAATGCTGTAGAGAGGTCAATTAATATGTGGATCGAAAATTAGCCATTGGGGGAGAAACATTAAGATACTGGTTAAGTTGGCGGTATGGGGGCTGGGCAGGAAGATGAGATATAAGTAGATGAGGGATATATAAGTAGATGAAAGTTATTGATAATTTTCTGATTCTTGGCTTGGGGAATGATTTCATAGTTCATTTTATTCTTAGTGCTTTACGATTAATCTTTTATATAATTTTTTGTATAAATTAAATAATATATTTAAAAAAATAAGGGACAAATGTTTATGCTAAAAAGAAAAAAAGCTATTTAGCAAGCAGATTTAATATGCATTCGTGCCTGGAACTAGAACTCTGATCTTGCCTCTTAGTGCAGTGTGATTTATACTGATACCACATTGCAGTAGCCACTGACCCCCTGCTTCTTGCCCAGCTAGATTTCTCATATCCGTTTTCTCTGCCCTGCATGGTTTAGTAACTTGCCTGTGTGGGTTAGTCATGCAGACATGGCGTGGACTGGGCGGGTTGCTAGGGTAAGGAGGCTGATGTCTCAACCCATCAGCTCAGGAAGCTTGGTGTTCAACTCAGACTGGGCTGATCAGGGCCTGAGGCAGTGCTTTTTACATTATTCAGCTTTAGACAAATCCATATTTATAACAGAGAGTCAATGAGTTAATTACAGTCAGGCTCTACCCTTCCCATAACTGGAATTTTTCTATTCTCATCACCACCATCCAACTCCTCATTTTCCTTTCTTCCAGGGTAATATATTTTTTTCTACCAGTCATTTTAACAGATTGTTTTTTGAATCTCAAATTATAAAAGAAGGAATTAGATTTAGCATAAATGATAGTTAATAAACTCTCTTGAGCAGGTCTTGACCATCTGTAGGCCTCTGTCTTCCTCTTAAAACAATAGTGTTAATAATAATTGCTGGGCTTCCCTGGTGGTGCAGTGGTTGAGAGTCTGCCTGCTGATGCAGGAGACGCGGGTTTGTGCCCCGGTCCGGGAGGATCCACATGCCGCGGAGCGGCTGGGCCCGTGAGCCATGGCCGCTGAGCCTGCGCATCCGGAGCCTGTGCTCCGCAACGGGAGAGGCCACAGCAGTGAGAGGCCCGAGTACCGCAAAAAAAATAATAAAATAAAAAAAAATAATAATAATAATAATAATTGCTAATGTTTACTAAGCATTTACTCTGTGCCCAGCACTTGCTAAGTATACCATGTACATTATTTCGTTTAATCCTTAGGCCCTTTGAAGTAGATACTGTTTTTATAAATTGAACCTTGCTGTGAGGTTAAATAACTTGTCCAAGTTCACACAGTTGACCAGGATTTCCAACCTGGCTCCAGAGCCTGTGTTCTCTTTCACTATGGCATACTGACTGCCTTATAGGAGGGTCGAAATGAACAAAAACACAGTATAAAAATAAAAATTAATAACTAATAGTTATCAGGGACTTCCGTGACTGTCCAGTGGGTAAGATTTCGCCTTCCAATGCACAGGATGTGGGTTTGATCCCTAGTCACGAGCTAAGATCCCACATGCCCCATGGCCAAAAAACCAAAACATAAAACAGAAGCAATATTATAACAAATTCAATAAAGACTTTAAAAAAAAAAATGGTCCACATCAAAAAAATATACTAAAGGGGCTTCCCTGGTGGCGCAGTGGTTGAGAGTCTGCCTGCTGATGCAGGGGACACGGGTTCGTGCCCCAGTCCGGGAAGATCCCACATGCCGTGCAGCGGCTAGGCCCATGAGCCATGGCTGCTGAGCCTGCACGTCCAGAGCCTGTGCTCCGCAACGGGAGAGGCCACAACAGTGAGAGGCCCGCGTACCGCAAAAAAAAAAAAAATATATATATATATATATATGTGTGTGTGTGTGTGTGTGTGTGTATATATATATATATATATGTACTAAAAATAAATAAACAGTAGTCATCAGATCTTATTATGAGGCAGGCATGAGACTAGTAGGAGTTTATCATGCATATTCTCATCTAATTTTCATATAAGGTAGTGACTATTATTTGTCTTATTTTATAAGACCAGTTAACGAAGGTTTAAAAAGTTTCATTGACGGGCTTCCCTGGTGCTGCAGTGGTTAAGACTCCGCACTTCCACTGCAGGGCTGCGGGTTCGATCTCTGGTTGGGGAATTGAAATCTGCATGTCATTCCGATGCTGTGCGGCGCGGCCAAAAAAAAAAAATGCAGACACATTTGAAATTCAGAGGGGTTATGTGGGGATCCAAAGTCCCACAGCAAGGTAGTGGGTCTGGAAATAACCTTTATTCCTCTTATTTATGTAGTGCTTTATAGTTCCCAAGGTACACTCAAATCTGTTATTTCATTTGATTTGACTCTCACAAAAACCTATAAGTAGATAGGACAAATGTGCCATTTCAAAAATAAGAGAGCTGAGAAATTGTTGATTGCACAGGGTTTCACTTTTTTTTTGGGGGGGGGGGGGCTGCTCCATGTGGCCTATAGGATCTCAATTCCCCGACCAGGGATTGAACCCAGGCCATGGCAGTGAAAGTGCCAAATCCTAACCACTAGACCACCAGGGAACTCCCAGGTTTCACATTCTTAATTAAAGAATTAAGATCATGCTATCAAGACAAGACTCAGGGAAATTATCAGGGAAATCTGAACCAGAGCCCTTCCTATTGCCCAGTCATAAGTGAATATTATTTACCATATGACGGTACAGAAAATAAAGCTCCCTCTGTGGTTTGCAAAAAGATGACTGAGAGATGGAGTAACTTACCCAAAGGCACACAGCTAGTAAGTGTAGATCCTTGTTCTGAACACTCAGCCCAGATCTCTGCTTTTTTTTGACTATGCTCCCAGGAAAATGTTCCCACACAGAAATTTTGTCTTCTAGACCCTTCCTAAGATGCAGCTGTTACCACCTGGAGATTCTGAATCCTGCCTCTGGATACTTGGCAGGATAGATAAACAGTATTCTTGGAACCACCACACACCAGTCTTGCAAATACCCTCTTTCCGTGGACTGGAGAGTTTAACTTAAGATGAGTGCTGCCAGTCCCCATTCTTCCTTCATTCCATCTCCTTTCTGAGTATCTGTCTGCTTGGGAAAGTAGCTCTTATCAAACACAAGAGGGCTCATCATTTTGCTGTTTTTTCAAATCCTAAGTAAAGTGGATGTTTTGCAGTGTTTCACGGTCCATATGACTTAAATTTAAGTTTTTTTGTTTGTTTGTTTGTTTGTTTTGCGGTACGCGGGCCTCTCACTGCTGTGGCCTCTCCCGTTGCGGAGCACAGGCTCCAGACGCGCAGGCTCAGCGGCCATGGCCCACGGGCCCAGCCACTCCGCGGCATGTGGAATCTTCCTGGACCGGGGCACGAACCGGTGTCCCCTGCATCGGCAGGCAGACTCCCAACCACTGCACCACCAGGGAAGCCCAAATTTAAGGTTTTAAAAATGTTCTCTATCATAAATTCAAACAATAACAGAAGTATATAAAGTAAAAGAGATAGTATTTCCTTCTTATCCAACCTTCCAGAGGTAATCACCATTAATAGAATGGTGTATGCCTTTCTAGATTTTGTTCTTTGTTTATATATACATGTATTCGCATGTGTGAGTAAGTGTGTGTGTGTATTTTCCACACTGTATTTTTTCTGAAACGTGCTGTTTTTCATTTAATATTACATCTTAGACATCTTTCCAAGTCCATGCATTTAGATTTACCTCTATTAAAAACAGTTGCACAGGGGGCTTCCCTGGTGGCGCAGTGGTTAGGAATCCGCCTGCCAACACAGGGGACACGGGTTCGAGCCCTGGGCCAGGAAGATCCCACATGCCGTGGAGCAACTAAGCCCGTGTGCCACAACTACTGAGCCTGCACTCTAGAGCCCGCGAGCCACAACTACTGAGCCCATGTGCCACAACTACTGAAGCCCGCGCGCCTACAGCCTGTGCTCTGCAACAAGAGAAGCCACCGAATGAGAGGCCTGTGCAGCGCAACTAGAGAAAAGCCCATGCGCAGCAACGAAGACCCAATGCAGCCAAAAATAAATAAATTTATTTAAAAAAAAAAACAGTTGCATAGTATGTCATCAAATTGCAGAGTCATAGGGTGTATCCATTTTAAAAACAAGTGTTTTAAGTGAAGGACAACACATATTCTGGTGGGTGCATCTGGTTTTAGGCTGCAACTAAATGGCTTTGGGCGAACATTTCATCTTCTCTGAGCCTCAGTTTCCTTATCTATAAAGTGAGGACAGAAGTACCTAATGTAGTTGTGAGGATTGAAACCATTCATTAATTTATCAAGCATTTGCTGAGGGCCTTCTACATACCAGGTAGTATTGGCTAATGTATTTGATGGTATTCTGTAAACTGGGAAGCTTTATGTAAGGAAGTTCACCATGAGAATAATCCAAAAAGAGATGTGGACTTATCTTTGTCTCTTCCCCACTCACCTTAGCGATGTCTCTGAGACTCTGCTGGATAAGTGCCTTTATACCAACCACTCTCCTCATCCTGACATCTTGATACGGACTTCTGGGGAAGTGAGGCTCAGTGACTTCCTCCTCTGGCAGGTAGGTCGTTTCCAACCATTGTTCTGTTTGTGTCGAAACTGAAAACTGTGACTGCACCCACAAAACAGATTGGAGGGTCAGCTAAAATCCAGATAAATGTCTCCAGGCTGTGCCTGGTAACTTTTGCTATCCCTTCCTCATCTGTCCCTGGCTTTGTGAGCCTGTGTAGTTCTTGCTGTCTAAAGTGCCCAGGGGAAGAATCAAGGCTATCCAGCTGTGGTGAAAGCTTTACTTGTACCTCTCTTCAAGGAACTGGACTTCTGCCTTAGGTCCCTGAGCATAAGCTTCTGCCCTGGTAACCTGCCATGTCCCCCAGCACCTCTGGGCTAGAACCTCGCCTTGCATTTACTAATTTCTCGCCTTTAGAATAAAGGGCGGCATCTACACAAGCACAGGCCACAGGAGATATAAACTGTATGCAGACTCTTTCTTCAGGGCCTGCCATTGCCTATCAGCTCAGTTATCCCAGTGTAGGTAGTTCTCTAAAAGCCCATATCCAAATAAGTTTGTCTTTGCTTGAAAATCTCCATCATCTGTTAAGTTGGCCCCTGAGTAGCACTTGGCTGGGGGAAATCTTGTTCAAGGAGAGGCTGAAGGGAGAAACTCAGCTTGGAAGCAATTCACATGGTAAAGTTCTGGAAATTTTAATGGACCATAGTCTTAAGAGTGAACTAACAAGATTTAGCTACTGAAGATACTTTTAGTCTTTGGCTATATTGAAAGCAGTATAATGTGCAGCTTGTGGTTTTATGGCCCATTCTGCTGGTCAGATTATGTCTAGAGAGTTTACTTCTGGGCACTGGGTTTTAAGAGATTGCACTGGTAAACTAGAGGACTTAGCAGAAGAGGCCAGCCTGGATGGCAAGGAGTCTGAAGCTCATGTCCTATAAGGCAGGGGTCCCCAAGCCCTGGGCTGCGGACCACTACCAGCCTGCGGCCTGTTAGGAACTGGGCGCACAGCAGGAGGTGAGCAGCGGGCGAGCAAGCGAAGCTTCATCTGCCACTCCCCATCGCTCGCATTCCTGCCTGAACCATCCATCAATCCCCCCACCCCACCCTGTCCGTGGAAAAATTGTCTTCCATGAAACTGGTCCCTGGCACCAGAAAGGTTGGGGACCGCTGCTATAAGGAATGAGTGAAGAATAATGGTCTGGGAAAGAGAAGAATGGTGATAGTTTATTCTCTTGGGAAAAAAATATTAAGTTCCTCCTTTGTGCTGGAAATATGGCAGTAACCAAGTTAGAAATAATCCCTATTATCATTTATTTATTTACTTACTTATTTATGGCTGCGTTGGGTCTTCGTTGCTGTGCGTGGGCTTTCTCTAGTTGCTGTGAGCGGGGGATACTCTTTGTTGCAGTGCGTGGGCTTCTCATTGTGGTGGCTTCTCTTGTTGCGGAGCACGGGCTCTAGGTGCGTGGGCTTCAGTAGCTGTGGCTCGAAAACTCTAGAGCGCAGGCTCGGTAGTTGTGGCGCACGGGCTTAGTTGCTCCGAAGCATGTGGGATCTTCCCGGACCAGGGCCCGAACCCGTGTCTCCTGCATTGGCAGGTGGATTCTTAACCACTGTGCAGCCAGGGAAGCCCAATCCCTACTATCTTAAAACTTACAGTTTGTTGGAAAAGACAAGTGAACAAGTCATTACAACCTTGGGAACAGATAACAGGCAGTTCTAAGCTAGCCTTCAAATATTTGAAAGACTGTCACTTTGAAGAAGAAATAAAGTTGTTCCAGAGAAACGACCTGAGACCTTGGTAGGTGACATTGGTTTAACTTAATGAGCTATCTGACAGCTAAAGTTATCCCCCTTGAGGCACTGAATTCCTCACCACTAAAGGTGTCAAGCAGTGGCTGTCAAGAATGTTCCAAAAGGGAGTCTTATATCAGTGATTATTGTTAAAAGTTCACCCAGCTCTTTGCTCTGCTTTATGTATGTTATCTTGTTAAATTTTCACAGTACCTTAAAAACTAGTTATTCTTATTACCCAGTTTTACAGTTGAGGACACTGAGGCCCAGAGAAGTTAAGTAACTTGCCTGAGGTCAAGTAGATGGTAAACGGTGGAGCCAGAATTCAAAGCCAGGCAGTCGGGCCCCAGAGCCCATGCTCTTAACCATTGTCCCATACTCTGCTACTTAAAAATAACAATGACAGCTACCATTTGTTCATTGCTAACTTTTATCAGACACTGTGTCTCCCAGATGACCTCTAAGGGCCAAGAGCCAGTAACATAATCTAGATGTTATTTCATAGTCCTAAAATTGGCTTAGAAAAATCCTGGTGGAAATGTTGATCTAGTCTCGCTTTGGTTCTGCCTTGCTACAGGCAGGTGATTTTACTGCCTCAGATGACCCGTCCCCCTATTAGTGAGTGAATCCGGGCTGGCAGCAGCAGCTGCAGCTCAGGATGCCTGTCCAACCTCATCTCTGGGTGTGATCAGCCTGCTCTTTCTTTGGAGCCTGACCAGGGATGTGTTCCAGTAACATGTTATTAAACCATACTCTCTTCCTTCCCCACCTTTCCCAGACCTCCCACTCCTGCTTGGTGTTCCAGCCTGTTCTGTGGCCAGAATACACGTTTTGGAACCTCTGTGAGGCCATCCTGCAGTTCCAGATGAACCATAGCATGCTTCAGGTAAGAGTTCAGGGCTGGCCTGACTGGGTGGAATGGAAGAAGGGGTTAGCATTGATGACCACCCACGGCTATATATGTCAGGCACTTGCTAATAATCATGTTAATGATGAGTAGCTACCACTTACTGAGTATTTACTATGTGTCAGGCACTGTGAACAGTTTATATGCACTATCTCATTCAGTGTTCCCAAGAACCCAATGAGCTAGGTATTATTAGCCCCATTTGTGCAAATGAGTAAATCAAAATTATTTAGCTAAGGACACGTAACCAATAAAAGATGGAACTGGGATTCAAGTTATAAATCTTTAATCTCTTTACTATGGAAACCCAGGAAAGGCTTTTCAGAGAGATTGGCCATTATTCCCTGAAGGAATTGGCCTAATAAAAGATTGTAGAAGTGGAAGTATACAAAATCCAAGACGCTTCCAGAGGGATTAAAAATGAAATAGCACTGTCTTTGTATGAAACTGTGTTCTACCAAGACTTGAAGTTCTGCTTTCAGTTTTGATCACCAGATCTTGAAACAGGTTTCATTAGGAGGCAGAGTCACCTACGTCTGATTAGGACTCTTAATAATAATGGCAGTGTGTGTGGTGGTGGCAGCTAATGTATTGAGGGTCTATTAAGGCACTTTGGTGTTTTCATGTAAGTTTTCTTATTTAACCCTTCCAGCAATCCAGCAGGTTTGGTGTCCTTGTTTTTCAGATATGGCAACAGAGGGGCAGGGAAACTGTCCCAAGGTCACAGAATTTTAAACCCAAACCTGGTGATGCTTCTTGAGTCTGGAGAGATAATGGCCAGGAGGAAATAATGATCTAAGCCAGGGCTTTTCGGTCCCCTTGGCATCGCAGACTCCTTGGAGAAGCTAACGAAAGCCGTAGACCATCTCCCTAGAAAAATTGCAAAGATCACTCTAACACATGGCATTTTGCATAGAATTACATTAATCCCTTTAACACATAAACTACTTCTGGGGGTTCACATAACTCCTGAAATCTTTCCATGAATCCCAAGTCCAGAACTCCTGGAATAAGTCAATCAAATCATGAAGGTTTGGTCATGTGCTTGATCACTTAGTCTCAGAATTTGAAAAAGGAAGTTAAGTTCAAGTAAAAGGAAAAACAGCAAAGTCTCACTTATCCACTGTCAAAGAGGAATGAATATCAGATTTTTCCACATGACCAAGTCTCCCTTTAAGAACTAAAACTTTTTTTAATCCTATTTTGATAGAAAACCTGTTCTGAAGCAGGTCTTGTGCATAATTCATTAACACCTTCTGTATACCAGGCACTTGCTAATAATGATGATGATTAGAATAATCACATTCTAATGATGCTGATAACGATAATATTGTTAGTAACTGCCCTCTTGAAGTACTTCACTGTGCAGGATGGCCTTGAAGGGTGGGACTCTTTCTCTAAGCTAGATTGTCCCAAAATACTTGGCTTTGGGATGTCTTGTATATGGTCAATGGCTAATTTCGACAGCATCCCTTCTTCCCTTCTCTTCCTATCTCCAGTTTTAAATCAGCTACAGGCAAGGAAACCAGGCAGCCAAGCTTGTTAGAGTTGTCTGTAAAGTGAGAGTAAACTGGCCTTGCATGAAGCCCAGAGGATCTTGGTGCACGAGCTTTTGTGTATGGATATTCTTGTCTCTGAGTTGGCTGCTGAGAAGTCTTTTAGTAATTTCAGGTTTCTCAGATACTTTCCCACATGGCTATTGGAGGAATTACCTCAAGTTTCACTCATTTCATAAATGTCTATTACTGAGTACCTGGTCTGAGTCAGGCACTATGTTAGTATTAGGCACAAGAGAGTCAAGCAGTTAGTTGGCCAGACAAGATCCCTACCTACATGGAGCTTGTATTTTTACTTGAGGAGACAGATAATAAGTAAACAAGTTTATACAATAATTTCAGATTGTAATAAGGCAATGAAGAAAATAGGGTGATATGCTAGAAGGTAATGAAGAGAGCAGGAGGTGCTGAATAAAGCAGTCAAGGAAGGCCTCTCTAAGGAGGTCTTTTTTAAGCCATTATATTAGAGATGAGAGATAGCCAGATGGGTAAAAATCCAGGGGGAAAGAATTATTCTCTGCAGAGGGAGCAGCAAGGGCAAGGATACTAAAGTTATAAAGTTTAGGTCTTGGAAGAACAAAGAAAGAGGTCAGCACACATGAGGGAGAAGGATGTGGGATGAGGCTGGGTAGGAGTCAGGCCTCTGATCACTGAGGGCCTTGTAGGCCATGATGACACATCTGAAGACTTTTGATCAGGGGAGTGACAGGATCTGATTTATATTTTGTAAAAATCACGCAGGATTTTCAGAGGGCAGGAGTCAGAGACCAAACTCCTACAGTAGTCCAGGTGGGAGAATGTGCCTCAAGGTGGGGTTGCAGCTGTAGAGAAGGGGAGGGCTGAGTGGACTGAGATGGAGGAAAAACAAAAGTTAAAACAGGAACAAATGAAACTAAGTTGATAATATAACCCCCAGTGAAAGGGATTAATTCCAGTTACCTGAACATAGTTCTCTGACTATATATTTTTGGTGGGATATATTCTAAGGATAATACAAACTGGAAAGCTAACTTAAACATTACTTAGGTTTATTAATGGTAATGTTGATGATGTAGCTCTGAAACTCTTTTATTCATCTTGTAGGATAAAACAAATGAGTAAAATGTTAATGTTATTAGGAACCAAAACATTTAGGTTTTGGCCTGGGCAGCTGGGTAGATGGCTCTGCCGTTTCCTAGGATGGGGTGGAACGTGTTTGAGGACAGCCATTAAGAGTTTCATTTGGTACCTAAGAATCATAATTTCAAACATTTATTGAGTTCTTACGTATCAGGCATCCTTTTACTTATATTCTATGTAGTTCTGTAAGGTAGATACTATTATTAATTGCCCCCATTTTTAGAGTGAGGAAACCAAAGTAATAACAGAGATGCTGACTGCCCTGAACCTTTCTTCAGCAGACCTCATAGAGGTTTTGGCCAGATTTCCTCTACCCAGGAGCCCTCAAACTCTGTTTCTAGAAATCTTAGCACCTCAGCAGAAGCACTAAGCGTACAATCCAGACTGACAACATCCTGGCCAGTTTGGCCTCAGACCAGAGAGCTGATCTTTCTAATATCTCCCTTGTATGTATCCTGTATCATCACCAAACTGGACTCTTCACAGTTCCTTGTTCCCAAACCCTTTGGTATTCTGCCTCCACATCTGTGTTCTTGACCCATCTCCCAAATTCCCATTGTTAAATTCTGAGCTGCTCTGTCTCTAAGCCCAGCCCAGTATGTCCCCATTCCCTGCAGGAAGCCAGGGCAGGGAGTTGGGTTCTTGATCTATAGTAGCTCACTGGGATGAGGGCAGCTGATGGATGCTAATGGAAACAGGGACTCAGCTACAAATTGTTGGAGGCTAGACCTTGGTATCTGAAGGGACCATGGCAGTTTCCAGGTGGTCACCCATCAGTCTTAGAGAATGGGGGCTGGCAAATGGAAGAAATCTCGACTATGACACAGTAGGACAGATAGAAAATTAGGGCAAGGAAGGGGTGGGCAGCAGTACAGAGCCACTGATCCTCAGTTACAGGCTGCATGGATGGTAGGTCCATGGTGGGGATCTTTGACAGAGATGAGGAATAAGTGTTCGGTCCACTTAATCTGTAATGATACAGAGGGGGAATATACATATTTCCACTAAACTTCCTTTGATGCATTTGTCAGAGGTTAAACGCCAGGGTGGAACAATCAACCATTTTATTTCTAGTGCTCTTCAGGTAGTCACTATCTTCTTCTCAAGAGAAGTTAAAAACTTCAGCTATTGTCTCAGACATTCCTGACTTTGAGTCATGGCACAGCCTTCTAGCTGTGTGACTGACTGGGCAATTACTTAACCCTTCAGAGAATCACTTTTCTCCTCTGTAAAATGAGGGGAGTAATGATAATAATAATACCTGCCTCACAGGTTTGTGATAAGTCTTCAGTAAGCTAATACACTAAAAGCGCTGGAACAGAGTTCATTTTCAGAGACTGGTGGCCAATATCGTTCACAATGTATGTCTCTGGGCTCTTCAGACTTCATCTGTCTCCAGAAAAACCACAGACACTTAGCATCCCGCTCATCCCATCGCCAGTACAGTTCCCTTAGCAGGGAGACTCTGGGTGCTCGTCAAAACATCATGTTTCCAGCAAGAGGTACTGTCTCTAACAACCCTCAGAAATGCACCCCCCCCATGCTACTGACCTGGGCATATTGATTGTGGCAAATGGGGACTTTTGGGAAGACTTGTCATTAGCTAATGAATGTTTTGAAACCCAAGACCTGCATCCTCTCCATGCCCCAGTGAGGTCAGAGGACTTGAGGGTTTATATACTGGAGGGGCTATTACATCTTGTTCTCTAATTCTGCTGAGGAGAGAACAAGAGCAGAGAGGCTTAATGCCCAGGAGAGATTTATATTAATAGGTTCGGGCCCCATTTCTCAAAAGGAGCTCCTTGGAGCCCTGACACCAAGACCACATAAGGTCTGCATAAGAAGTGTCTAAGGTAATTATTAACGCCCTCTCCCCTGATAGGTCATTATACAGGGAAAGTAGACAGTATGGTCAGGGAGAGAGAAATTGACTATTAGGACTTCCATTAGCCTAGATTTTCAGAGGCTGAGTACCTGAGAAGAACTTACAACACCTTTGAGATAGGGAGGTAGATCTAGACCATGTGGAGGTTGCACAGAGGTGCCCAGATGCAGGCCACTGGTTCCCCACTCCACCCCTAGAAAGTACAGCTTATCCAGAGGCACGAAACACATTTCCCAAAGATCTTTCAAGAAGTTATCTTAGGGCTTCCCTGGTGGCACAGTGGTTGAGAGTCCTCCTGCCGATGCAGGGGACGCGGGTTCGTGCCCCGGTCCGGGAAGATCCCACATGCCGCGGAGTGGCTGGGTGCGTGAGCCATGGCCACTGAGCCTGTGCGTCCGGAGCGTGTGCTCCGCAACGGGAGAGGCCACAGCAGTGAGAGGCCTGCGTACCGCAAAAAAAAAAAAGTTATCTTAGTGGAGAAACCAAGGGAACTTCAAACCACTGTGTGACCTAGGCCAGGCCCCTCCCCACCTCAGCCTTGGTGTCCTTGTCTGTACAATGAGAAGGCTAGAGCTCATGGTCTTTACGAGCTCCCCTGACTCTGTCATCCTAACATTGAATCGCTGATTCCTGGCAAATTAGGAGCCAGGGTCTGCTTGGCTGCAGCCTCCCTGCTCAGCACTCAGTCTAGGGCTGCCATTTGGAAAAAGCCTGAGCCTCATGGAGCAATTTTAACCAGCTCCGCATTTCCTCCTTCTGTGGCTCGGTGCCCTCCTCCTTCCTGTTCAGCCAGGACTTAGCCTACTTAGCCCTAGCCACAAGCAGTGGTGACAGAAGAAGGGCTAACTGTTAATAGCCAGGCACCAGATTGGGCATTCATTATCTCATTTTTCCTCAAACCACCCAGTGATGTGGACACTATCGTCCCCATTTTGCAGATGAAGAAAGAGGTTTGGAGAGGTGAGGGAGTCCTCTGGACAGAAACTTCTCAAACCCAGTATTCCAGGCAGACTCACACTGGCCTGATCACGCTCTTTGATTTCCTGAGTGATCTATAGTAGCCCATTATTCCCCCGCTGATATTCTCCTCCCCCCATACACTTTACCTTTATCTGAATCTTCCTCGTTGGTTAAAGCTCAGCTCAGATTCTGCCTGACCATGAGATTTCACTGCCCCCTTGACCTTCATCAACCACAGTTTCTTTCCTCTGAACTGCATGGCCCTTTCTCTTACCTCCATGATGATCCTTACCACATTCCACCTTGTATTATGGTATTTGGGTACATCTCTGTGTCCTACTCAGCCTGTAGGCACATGGATCGCGGTGACTATGTCCTGTGCATTTCCATACCCCCAATAAAGTCTTGTATGTAGGACCCAGGGTTCCTCCTGACTAAGGCCAGGAAGAAGCCCTTCTAACAAGATGAAGACCCTTACAGCAACTTTTTAAGCTTGTTTTAGTCTTCATAGCTCCACATGGGAGTTCGTTATCATAGCAGAAGAGTATCCTTGAATGCCTTGGATCATTCAACAGCCTGGAGGGGGGATTTTCCAGATTTTTCATTTGTCATCTTTATTCATGCAGTAAGTCTTTATTGCTGAGAGACCCTAGCAAATCACTTCCCTACTCTGAACCTCCATGTCTGTCTCCAGCATCTCCGTAGCTCTTTTGGGAGGGTCAAGTGAGACAACAGATGAAGTGCTTGTGTACATGTAAGATATTCCTTAAAGGATTAAAACAAAGCAATCCAGGTGTTCACAGGCTGAGTAGGACACAGACAGGTACCCAGATACCACAGTACAAGGTAGAATGTGGTAAGGGTCACAAAGGGTATAGGATACCAAATCGGCAGCAAAATGGGAGTTTCTCACACATGGAATAGGTTTGGCAGGAGGGACTCTGGTGCTAAGGTTCTGCAGCCTGTTAGAGTGGCAGGAGCAGAGCATCAGTGAGGCACAGCAAGGCCTTGGTTCTGCTCCAAAAGGGTTTTCCCCTTCTGTGCCAGGAGCATCCTCCTTGTCCTCCTGGGATCATACAGTCAGTGTACTGAGCATTTCACATGTACAGGGTGCCCCAAGTGCCAGAAAGGAAAAGCCACAGTCTCTGTCCTCTAGGAGTTTATGGTTTGTCTGAAGACACACACAGGGTATGAGAAGTGCTGCCAAGGAGTATAATCACTTACCTGGTGTCAGAACTGGTTCCAGGAGCCTGAGGGCTCCACTGAGCCTTCAAGGGTTCATTTTTCTAACAGAAAATGTGGACTGTGGACACTAATGCCAATTCTAGAGGCAGGATGAAGTAAGTGGCTTAAGAAAGCTGAACCTGCTTCTCATAATGTTCACAGGAGGGCCATTTGCTGCGCGAGTCAGCCTGGTCTCCATATGAGAGGCAGTTCTGGATCCAGACTCTGAAAGATAACTTTAGGCAGTTGGGAGGATGGCACCCTTAGAGTGACCTGGGAAACCAAAGAAATGACCCACTGCATATGCCCCAGGCAGGAATAGAACCTTCCTTGCATCAGAGTGATAACTTGTAAAATTGCTGTTTCTGTTTGAGAGCCTGCTAATATGCTGGAGGGGTTTTGCATACATTATCTCTAATCCTTAAAACCACTCTTCAAGGTAGGCACAACCCCGCTTCACAGATGAAGAAGTGAGGTTAGGAGAGGATTTGCCCAAAGCCACAAAGCTAGGTGGTGGGGGAACCAGAAGTCACACCCACATTTGCCTTGTTCCCTTCCAAGTGCAAACCTGAGAAGAATTTCAAGAAATATAGAAACTCCCACCCAAAACAAACCAAGATGGATCCAGAACTGCCACTGCCCTGCCTATACAACATGGGCACCACCCATTGCACACCTACTCCCAAACCTTTCCAGATCTGCTACAGACTTCCCACTGTTCCACTTAACTTGGCCCGTCCTGTGCCCCACCCTTACCTCCTCCATCCCAATTCCACCCACGCCTAAAAATGATCTCCCCACCCCAATCCCCACTTTTCTCTAGCAGAAGGCCCGAGACATGTATGCAGAGGATCGGAAGAGGCAGCAGCTGGAGAGGGACCAGGCTGCAGTGACAGAACAGCTGCTGCAAGAGGGGCTCCAGGCCAGTGGGGACGCCCAGCTCCGACGGACACGCTTGCACAAACTCTCAGCCAGACGAGAAGAGCGGGTCCAAGGCTTCCTGCAGGCCTTAGAACTCAAGCGGGCTGACTGGCTGGCACGTCTGGGCACTGCATCAGCCTGAGTGAGGCTGGCCTCCTGCCACTTTGCCCTGCCCTCTGCCTCCAGGGCCCCACTCCCCTTTCTTTTCTTGGTGAAAGGTACCTCCCTCCTGATGATGAATTGTGTTTCCTTTGCTTGGCAAGGGAGCCCCAGAGGCCAGGTTTGCTGGCCATAGACATCTTTGGGCTGCCTGGGACAGTGCCCCTGGAGAGGGTTGAGGGTGAGAGTCTCTCACAAGTACACTAAACCCAAACTCTGATCCAGGTCAAACTGTGATCACAAATAGGTTCAGAGAGCAGAGGGCCCCAGCTCTTCCATCTTTGCCACCTCTACCTGTACTCCTAGGTGCACTTTCTTTTTCCACCAGCACATCCTTCAACACAAAGAATTTCGGGGAAGAGTTCTCCCCAAAACCTTAGCCCTTTACCCATCCATCTTAGTCTTCACAAAAGATGTGGACCCACCTTGGATCTGCTGGTAAATAGCTAATAGGCAGCCAGCGTTATTTAGGCAAGGAAGGGGAGGGAGAGACAGACAGAAAAGTTGCCCATCTGCTGCTCCTCCCCCTTGGCTGTCCACCTGGGATTTGCTATTGAATCTCTACCCCCTCCCACCACACAGTGCTGACTGCTCACTGAAAGCAGCGCCCCCAATGGTGCGCGGAAGCCAGGCGGGTGATTACAATCCAATTACCTATTGTCGACTCAGCCCACACAAGCTTTTCTCCTCTTGCAGGGCATGGGGCCAGGCTCCACTCCCCAGTGAGACCGGTCCCCTCCATGGCTACAGAGTAACAGAAGACCTATAGGCCCTGGTGAATCTAATCCAGCACAGGCCACCTTCCCTGGATCACATCAGGACCAAGAGCACAGAAACAAGCACTTCTCCCAACTGACTGCCTCCTGCCCTCAGCATCTCGGACTCTGCTTCCCACCTCAACAGCCTTTGAGGCTTTTCTCAGCTTTTGACCTGTCCCCCTAAGTAGACCGTGAGATGATTTATTCCCAGCATGGCAGAGTCTCAGCTTGTGAGGGCCAAGGTTGCCCAGCAGGGAGAAGAGGGCCAAGTCAAGGGCCGTGTCCTTTTCCTTACCTCTCCCTGCCAGGCCTCGCTGCAGAGCTGCTGAGAGGATTAGTGCCTTTGAAGAGCTGTCTGAGCAGCTCTGTGCTTCAGGTGCCCCAGAGCAGCAAGCACCAGCGGGTAATACCAACCAAAGGCTACTCTGTTTAGTCTTCCCGTTTTACTTTCTGCAAACTGTTTCCCAGCACCTCCCTCTAGGGGAGAGGTAGGATCTTGCAAGCAGTGCTAAGAGCATATTCTTTAAAACCTGTAACTTCCCTATACTCCAGTCTCCTCCCCTTTCTGTGCCTGGATACCTGGCACAAGAGACCCTTTGGGCATCTTCCCTGCTCCCAGAATCAAACATAAATGCCCGGCACTGCGATTGAGAAGCCAATCAATGCACCCTTTGGCAAGTCCCCCTCACACACCTGGCACTACCCACTACCAATCCCTGGCACGGGGTTCCCAGAGAGCAGGTGCTGTACATTTTCCAGCTTTACAAGGGGGCTGTTGACAGCCTTAATTAGGGAGGCATGAATTATGCGGCTATAATGCAGAGCCCTACAATTAAGGCGGGAATGAGGGGCTGGAGGCAGCAAATGGAATCTGCCCTGTGAGCATGGTTGTTGAGTCCTATCTCCTTTCTGGGTCTGACTTTCCCTACTATGATTGGGGTACAGCAGAGGTGATTAATGGGGCTGGTATCTTTGGCCTGAGGTCCTGTATTCTGGGAAAGGTACACAGTGGGGAGGGGTGAGGAGTGGCTGCCTCTAAGGGGTGGAAAGGAGAAGAGGCGGAGGGATCGCTGCTGCTCAGGAACAGGGGCTGCAAATAGTTGATATGAACTCACAGTGATTGCTTTCTACCGGTGTGATTTGTACAAACCAGCTCAACCCTTGCCTCAAGAAATTAGGTGAGACCTATTTAAATGTCTTCCCACCTGTGAGCCACCCCCCCCCCCCAGTTGAGGATATTTATCGTGTTGCGTTCTCTCGGGTGTCAAATAGAATTTTTAAAATTCTTAGATGTAAAACTTGTTTGCGAACAGTGCAACAGAAAATCATGTTTTGCTGCAGCAATTGTCTACCTTCCTCAGGTGCACTTGGCTACCTCCAGGATCCCTAGCTTTGGGGACGGGGTGGGGGAGCCACTGGAAGAGCCCTTTTTCCATCGCAACCCCTGTACCTCTACTTGTTTCCTAATGCCCGGACGCTTTCCTCCACCCTCCTTTTCCCTCGCGCAAGTGAAAGGAAGCCAGCCAGCCTGCCAGTGTGGAAGGAGGGATTTCGCCAGCTGCGTCTGCAGCGCCCAGGGTTAGAGGCTGCATCGGGTGGGGGCAGCTGAGCTTCATGTCTCCGTAGCGGGTAAAGATTAGAGGGAGGGGAGTGCTAGTAGGCCTTCTTGGCGGCCACTCTCCGTCATTCGGTGGCGGGGTTCTGAGGTCCAGGAATACAAGGACCTAGGAGAGCCATCCACCCGACAGGCTTTGGGGGGGCTTCGTTGGTGTTTGGGGAGGCGGCTGAGCAACGGGTGCTGAAAGGACAGCTCCTACCTGCCCCACTGCACCCGAAAGGCACCTCTGCGTGTAAAGTCTCCCCCTGGAACCCCCACCCCACCTCGAGTGGACCGCCTTCCAGGTGAGGTGCCCGAGAGGCGTCCTCCGAGTGGCAGCCTGGAAGGATGCACGTCCGGCTGCGCCGAGCTGGCTTCCCCGCTCTTTCCCCACTTCAGCGTCAGCCTTGGCCCTGGGAACTGCAGCCTGTGCCTCCAAGCCGCGCGCTTCCTCCCGCCTCCGGCGGAGAAGGGCAGTGCGGCCAGGCCTAGCAAACCCTTCTTCTGGGGCCCCCAGCGGGAACAGGAAGGAAAGCGGCTGAGATGCGCCCTAAGTGTCGCATGGCTTGGAGAAGTGGGTAGCTCGGTTGCATAAGGTGGAAGGAACTTGGTAGTTTGGAAAAGCCAGCTCTTGGCGGGAGCCGAAACCCAGAGCCCGCCGAGTCGCACCACCCTCCCTCATTTATTGCCCTCGACGCGCGCCTCCCCCACTGCGCCCCCACCCCCTAGGCGCGCCGCCGTCTCGCGCGCCCTCCCCCCCATACCCCCCTCCTCACTCCCTCCAGAGGAGGTGAGTTTAAACCCCGCCCACGTGACCCCAGCTGGGCCAATGAACGGCGGCGGGAGGTGAAATCCGGTTCTAACCGGTCCGGGGCTCCCAGCGCTATAAAAACTTTATAAACCCCCCGGAGCCCGAGCAGTGTGAAGAAGAGGCGAGAGCGACCCTTGGACTGGCCAAAGCCGCGAGCCACTGCATCCCTGTGTCCAGCGCATACGTCCCGCCGCCGTCGCCACCATGCCCAAGAGAAAGGTACGTGGCGCGAGGGCCCCAGGCGCTGGGCCGCCGCCGCCGCCACCACCACCACCAATGCAGCAGCCGCCGCCGCTTCCCCGGCTTTGGGAAGCGCGAATCAGCGGCGAGCTGGAGCAGACTCAGCCCCCCGGCGCGGTAGCTCGAGGCGGTGTCAGGCGGCCCCGGGCTAACCCTGCGCGGCTTGGCTGCCCGCGGGCGCCAGAGGCCATATTGGAGGAGCGGCGGCCGCGGCGGGAGGAGCCATGTTGGCGGCTGTTTATCCCGCTCCCCTTGGACTCGACGTGCCCGCCCCGCGCCCCCTCCCCCCATCGCTAGCCCCCCCCCCCCTTCCCCGCGGGCGGGCAATTCAAACCCGAAAGGGCGGGAAGGCGGCATTCGGGGTTGGCGGGCGGGGGAACGCGCTGCCGCCAAAAAACCGCCGCCGTGAGGGGGCGGGGCCTTCTTTCCTGGGGGCGGGACTTCGCAGTGTGGCCCCACCTCCACCGCGCGCCGCCCACGGCCCCCGCGCACGAGACTCGCCCCGGTGCGCGCCGCTGCCGCCCACGAGTTCCCCCGGCTGCGTGCTCCTCCCGTCTCCCGCCCTCGACGGCTGCCATGGCAACGGCGCTCGGGCCCCGCCTCCGGAGGGGTTTGTTTGCTCCTAGTACAGCTGTTGCTTCTGCCTGGCGCGGCGGCGCGGGCTGCGCTTCGCGCGCCTCGCTCCAGCTTTGCGCGCGCTTCGCGGGGCCCCGCCGTCCCTGCGCGTTATGAGCCAGACCGGGTGTGAGGCTGACACATAACAGCGTTCCTAGCGCTTTCTGAGCATTTTGGGGATTTGCATAGGAGCTGGGGATGCTACAAACTGAGGATTTGTATGTCTTAGGAAAGTTGTGTGCAAGATTCCCTTCGATTTTTTTTCTCCCACCTTTAGGACTTCGTTAAGTTTACTGAATCATTAAGAACTTCTTCAGAAACTGCAGCTTTCTTAGCTTTTGCTTGTTTTTTATAGGCTGAAGGGGATGCTAAAGGAGATAAAACCAAGGTGAAGGATGAAGTAAGTCTTATTCTCACTGCTTTTGGAGTCTAACAAAGCCTTGGGCTCCTTTAGTGGTAATTAACCATATTCATAGTCCTGAATTTGCCTCAGTAAGCTCTCTTTACTTCCTGTAGTCTAGAACAGTTCAGGTGCAAAACTTTTTTGTATTTAAGTGGTTCAACTGTCCTATTTGTAATTTTCTTTATTTTTTTTAAATAGCCACAGAGAAGATCTGCAAGGTTATCTGCTGTAAGTGTGTCTGCTTTTAAATTTTCATATTATTCCCTGAAACTAAAAAGCATTGAAAAACGGTTCCCTTTGCTTCCCATGAATTACGGTCAGTGGCTGGTATTGAATGACTTACTCTGCTATGGACTCTTGCCCATTTGGAATTTGCTCGTTCTGAAATTGTGATGGCTGTAGCCAAAGTGGGACACTTCCGAGTGTTACTTGAGTGGGTTTCTGAAGATATGAAGTTCTAATGGAAAGCCCGCCACAAACTTTACAAAGTAGGAGAAACTTCTATGCCAGTGGTGCTGTGGTTTGGTTGTGGGTTGTTTTCTTTGGTCCATTGTACTAATGTTCTCTGCTTTCCTTTTCTCCCCCAAATAAAAGAAACCTGTTCCTCCAAAGCCAGAGCCCAAGCCTAAAAAGGCCCCTGCAAAGGTGAGTAGGACGGTGAGACAAACATGCATCTAGGATTTACATAAAAGCCTGAACAGTTTCCCATGTTGCTGACAGGGAGACCTGCTATATAACAACTTCATCTGTTGACACAGAGTTGAGATTTGACAGAGTTAATAGGACTGGTCCTTAACCAAGAACTCTGTCTTCAATTTACAGGAAACTGTACACTTGGGTATTAAACAAGTGCAAGTGTTTAAGCTGTCTTATTCTATTATTTACATTCAGATAAAGAATTCCGTGTATTGAAGACCACAGTTTGGCCTTGTTTTTATGAATGGGGGAGGGTATGTAGTTTATTTGTGTATCTTATATTTGATCAACAACCCTACTTTGTGCAGAGCTTTGTAGACTTGTATCGCGGTGATATGAAATGAGGAGAAACAGCTTTTTTCCCCCCATCCCCCCATTTTAGAAGGGAGAGAAGGTACCCAAAGGGAAAAAGGGGAAAGCTGATGCTGGCAAGGATGGGAATAATCCTGCAGAAAATGGAGATGCCAAAACAGACCAGGTACAACTATTTTCACTTTATGTTAAGTCTGCCCATTCAGTCAGTTAATGATCCCAAAAGCTTTTATGGCCTTTTTCTTACATCTGTATCACTCCAAGTGCACCTTTTAGTCTGGAGTTTGCTTGTGTTTTTTTTCTGTGAGTTTAATCTGGATTCTTGAAGGCTCTGCCGTCCAATAAAGAGAGCTGTGGTATGAGCCTTGTCCTGTCGTTAGGTGTCGCGCTCATGCTACACCATGGTTTTCAAGTTGGGAATAACCTCAGATCTTGTAATACTGGTGTGCCCCCTTCCCCAATTTTACAGTAAGGTCCAGAGGGGAAGTGACTTAGCAAAGTTACCTGCCAAGTCATTTTCAAAAGAAGTACTGAGTCTCAGTGTCAAATTACCTAAAACCTGAACTTTGGCCTGGGAGCGTAATGCTATAAATGAAATATAAATGAAGATAGTTTCCACATCTATATATTGTATTCATCTGTCTGTTTTTCTTTTAGGCACAGAAAGCTGAAGGTGCTGGAGATGCCAAGTGAAGTGTGCATTTTTGATAACTGTGTACTTCTGGTGACTGTACAGTTTGAAATACTATTTTTTATCAAGTTTTATAAAAATGCAGAATTTTGTTTTACTTTTTTTTTTTTAAGCTATGTTGTTAGCATACAGAACACTTCATTGTTGTTTTTTGGGGGAAGAGCACATGTCACTAATAGATTGTCTCTGAAGCTGGATTGACATGGGAGAAAAACACCTTTCCCGTCTGGTTTTGAGAGACTTCCTCTTGGTTCCCAGGAAGGAGGGGGTTCCTTGATACTGACACACAGTAGCCACCTTGGCACAAATGCCTTGTGGTGTGGAAACTACAGTTAGTTTTTATGTTCTCTTCTCCCTCTCCACCTTCAGCATAGACTTGACTCCCTTAAACCCAGAGACCTGTTGGAACCTGACCCCCAAAAATTGGTTACCAGTATGTCAGGCAATCTGGACTTTGCATTGTCACCATTGAGATGGCGTCCCTCAAAAGAGCAGCGGTTCCTTTTTTAGATTGTGGATCTTCAGATTGATACTTTTGCCATTTTCATTTCCTGAAAGTCAGGGTCGGCTTGTGAAAAGTTGTTAAACAACATACTAAATGTGAAATGTCAACCCTCACTCTAAACTTTCCCTGTTCAGAGCATCACATGAAGACTTCATGGGGTTTTATAGTGGCTTTCTGATTTTGGTAGTCCATTGCAAAAGGGAGTTTGAAAGTTGTATACTGTTAACGATTGTCTGCCCATGTCCTGCCTGAAATACCATGATTGTTTATGAAAAGTATCTTTAATAAAGCTGGATACAGTTTGACTTGGAATGCTGCCTCTAATCTTTTCCCAGGAGTGGGGGAGCCTGGTTTCTCCAAGTCTCTTGGGACAGGATGCATTCTGGTGTGAGGTGTAGAGGTTCCATGTACAGTCAGTCTTTATGGTCCATCTGTAGAACACAGT